TTTGAGGTTGTTGATGCTGAAAACGACTCGAGGTCTGCACAAAATTCTTCTGACTCCAGGAAATAATATTTACGAGGAGTTTGAAACAAAAACATGGCAACAACTTCTCAGAGGCCCCCAGTCTTACACAAATACTCTCCAGACAACTTAAAAACTAGATTCAATCTGGGGCTCAAAGCTTTGAGAGGCGCTGTTTAAAATTATCCAAAAGCTTAAAGACCTAACAGACAAAATTCTTTCAGAAAACAAAAGTTGGGCCAGAAATTGACAAAAGAGATCAAGAAATGTGAGCTGTTGAAGAGAGGTCATACACTGATGCCTATAGAGACATTTACAGATGACATGTATGCAGTGATCTTGTCAATACATGGGTATAAAGAGCACAGAAATGGCATATATATTTACAAATATTAATCTCAGGTTGTAATTGTTAACTGTATCGAGTTGTTTGAAATTGCTGATCACATGGTTTTCTGTCATTAATGGAGATACTTACTAAATCCCCAGACTCTCATGCCAAGGCCAAACTAGCCCTTACAGCACAATTATGGCCTGATCCAGTGGCTGTAGGAATGTCTTTGACAGGGATGGATTCACAAAAAACTACCTCGTAAAATACATAAAGTACATAAAGGTTTTTAGTTATAACTTAACTGCAACTCCTGTACCTGTTTAGGTGTCCAAACCTAATTACAGAGAATTGAATTTAAAATCCCACAACCAGTACAAACTAATTTTATTTCTAATCTGCACAACATTAATGCCTCATTTTATTTCTGAAAAAGGCACCTCAATAAATTTCAAAGCTGTTCAAAGACAGGAAAATGTTCTGTCCTCACCTGAGGCTGCTGTTTCCCATCCCATGTTTGCATCTCCCCTTTTGCAGAGGAACCTTTTTGTTATGTCAATATCCCTCCTGTTTTAGCAACTTTTCCTACATACTATCAAAGCTTACATCAGTATTTGCTAGAAACAACAAAAAGGTTGCAAAAAAGTAGAACAAAACACATTATCTGGACTCACTAAGAGCCTAATTTCCACTGTACTGAGGTAAAATAAAGTCTTCACAGGTAGCCCCCATTGCTAGAGGGTAGTCCCTTGCAATAGGACTTACATGGAAATACATGGATGGGCTTAATTATATGAATGTAAGTGATCAGTAAATTCAACCAAGCTCAGACTGAATGAATTAATCCATCAGGAGAAGAAATTATGCAACCTGAGCAATGACTGACTGTTCACACACTTCTTCAAAGTAATACTATAGATTAGTAACACTTTTTAAACATGTTTTAACCACAGAAATAAAATTTGTGTACTGAAAAAGCTGACAGAAAGCTTTGAAATTCTGCATTCAGGACTTTCACTATAAAACTACATTTTCACTGAGATTCCACAGCATGTGAACAGTCGCTACTCTCTAAACGTGCTGAGTAATCCCTCCTATGTACCAGGGAAGGTGTGAATCATCTGGCTCGTCTGCAATATGATTTTCACTCTGAATCATGCTTACTGTGCGGGCAACATCATTTACAGTTCACAAGTGGTGTCCCAGAATATCGTCAGCAAGAATCATAACACGATCAACACATCAGCATCATCGTCGACACCATCAACGCCGTCTGGGCATCATGTGGGATCAAAACGCGCAGTCATCAAAGATTTTCTCACGCTACCGATATTTCCCATGAGAACACACACTGTAGGTGTACAGTACACCGTTCTCAGCATGGAAGGTCGTCTGGATGTCAAGGGCAGTTTCGAGCAAGCATTCAAATCAACTTCCATCTGCCTGTTCAACGAAACATAACCGAAACAGCATTAGGGTTTGGCCTGATGTAATGCGCAGGCCTTCATCTAACTGCCATGTTTCCAGCTGAACTTCTACAGTTTGTTCAAATTTGTCAGAAAGTGAGAGAAAATAGCCTGTTGATCAGCTCGATTTTACGGGAAACGTTCCAGTGAAGCAAAAAGATGCTTGACTTGCGTGACAGTCAGTTACAGTCCTATTGTGACTCCTTGCAGTGTTTTATACAGGCTTACAGCAAGCGTGGAAACAAATACGTAAAATTACAGAGTGGTCATTAGTGTTTATGAAAGATATTTGCTCTTTCTGTGATTTTCGACACTAAGTTTGGCAGAGAGTAAAGCAAAGAAGTGAACCGCTGCAGTGAGGAGCGATGAACATGTATGTAAGGCTAAGTAGTTTGTGGTGGCCTGTTGCTGCATGGGTTTCTAGGTCTCATGACATGAATCCCACAGAGGTTTGAGGAACAGCCCATAAACAGTCTTGGAGTCTTGGAAAGGTATAACCTTTAAAAAAAAAGCCTTGAGGGGTGATTGGCCAGCCTAAATTATGTCTGTCACATTCATTACAGGCCCACCAGAACTACAAAACATATGACCAAGATGGCGTGTGCCACCGAGGGGTTGAGTACCTAAGCGTGACCAGTCCTGCATGTTTGCAGCTAGTGTTAACTATATATCAGTATTTAATGGTTGTATTTAACCGTATTATTGTTTTACTAGCTGTTTGTGCCTCCTTGACGGCAACCTTCACCACCTCTGATTACACTGCATCCACAGTAATCTTTGAATCGGCTGCCAGTGAATACAGTTCCAAGTTTAAAGAAATCAATCGATCACATTAGATGGCTGAAACTGGACTTTTAATGCACATGTAAGCATGTTTGTCTGAAACCACACTGAATACATTCCCTTATACCTTGATGATGCTGTGAGAGACTGATTTTATTCTTGCGGTTTTACGCTACAATCAGACTCAAACTGGCTTATTGTTCTGCGCATGCTCCACAGTTTGCACATAGGGCTTTGATTCAGGAGTTAAACAGGATAAATGCATTGTAGTAAACAAAACCTCAACAGAAGAAGAAAAGACGTAACAAAGACAAAGCATTTATGCCGTACACACATAAAGTACAAAGCTGTCAGTGTTTTCCTTAAATGGAGAAAAGAACGGACCTTCTCTGCCATGTATTTGTGATGAAGTGTTTTATAATTAAACGTTATTCTACATGCCAGTAACAGTAAGCAGTTACCAGCTGCATTTAGATATCAGAATAGTTACATCAGCAAATTTGCTTTTCAGAAATAAAAATTCACTATGCCCTGATTTGTTACTGCTGATCAAGGAGCTGAAACTCAGAGTACATTATTACTGAGAGTGGAGTTACATATATAGTAAAGGTAAAATCAGAAAATCAAACGCTTTTTACTAAAGCGTGCCAATACTTGGATAAATGTCGCCACAGTAATGTCAAGCTTGTTAACTTTCGGTTGTTCATCAGAATGGTCTACACTGTGACAGTCCCAGAGTGCATTAGTTAAAAAGCCTGTACACCACAGCCATGAATATTGAACCAACACTGCTGAAAGCTTCTTACTTTCATTTCTGTTGTTTTAAGTGTCTCTTTCTTTTTTTTAAATTCACAAATAAACGCTCTTCTGTTTCCACCCAGGAAGTGAATCTTTCAATAGTTTTTTAATCATGTGCTTCATTTTTCCAAATCTATTTTTTTTTCAGTCACTATTTTAGTGAGTTTTTACAGTTTAACTGAATAATAATACATATCAAGTTTAAATAATGAACACCAACCCTGAATGTGAAGTTTAGATTTGAACAATTATTTGTACTGACACTGTGATCCTTTTTTGTGTTGATTTCAGTATTAAAATTAAAACAGAGCCAATTGTTTAGCCTGAGAGTTGGAAAAAGCCACTACCTTTAAAAAAAGAAAAACGCATTTGTGAAATAATGATAGGTAAAATCTCTCCCACATACACAAACCCTGATACACATAGAGATCCTAGATTTGATTTTAACAGCTACAGTTATCCAAGTCCCTCATAGAGCTGAAATCAAAGTCCTGTCTGGTAAAAAGCTGAAAGTTTCCTCTTTGTATTAAACACTGTGTGATCAGAAACGCTTAGCTGTTTGTTTTCTTCTACAGAAATCAACGTTCACACCGTTTTTGTTTGTAGGAATGTACTCACAGTGCTGCTGTGGATCATCGGCAGAAGAAACATCAACTCTGAGAAAAACACCAACATGTCGATGAACAGCAGGTTGTGATGAAAAGTCTCATTTAAGGTATACATCACTGTGTTTTACCTCTTGTAAATCACTATTGCTATTACCCATATAGTTATGACATTCGTGAGCCAGTCATAGGAGTATATGCCCCATCTTCAGCTCCAGTTTGTACAAAAGTTTGAACAAGAAAAGGTTGGATTAAAGTTTCTGCAAGTTGAGTCCAAAAGAGATAAATAATGACAAATCACAACCTTATCGTAGAAAAAAATGGACAAAAGAGCAAATTTGATTGATTTAAGCTTTTGAGAATTCCTACTTGAAGTGTGTGGCATCAAATACTTTGTTTCTGCAGAAGATCTGTGGAGATTTAAGAACTTATTTTCAGTCACACAGCATGCATATGTGAGCCCGATATCCGTTACGGCCGAAAGTGTGGGTATTTTTGCAAAATAGTTTTGCTGAGACACAATTTCTTTGTTCCTTTTTCTCTGTCAACTTTCCAACAAGCATGTTTTTTATAGCTTCTCAGAGCGTGTGCTGGAAGGTAAATCACACTTCTCGTTGTGTTTTGATTTGCTGAGGACAAGGCTGCATCTTGCCTCCGTCTCCTGCAGTGAGTATAAATAGTGAGTGGATATCTCGCAGCTTTGATGCACATCCTCTATTAGGACTGTCATCAGGTGAGTTCAAATGTAATGTTCACCTTGACTTTAGAGTCAGTGACAAAATTATGCACCTTTATCTTTTTATAATGGAAGACAAACGATAAAATAGTTTGAAATATAGAGTGAAATAGATTTTTCTTTCAAACAAATCAAGTGAAAGGAAAATTGAATGAAGTCTTTTCCTAATATATTGATTAATATTTTATTGCGTGGAGCATCTTTGATTGTTATGTGTCACATTTTCTCATGTTTCCAACTTAAATAATACACACTCCTGTATGCATCAGGCATCCTTTTTCTTAAAGGTTGCCAAAACCCATATTTCCTGTGGAATAGAAAGTCGCTCCCTCGAAGAACCCGACCAAGAAAAGGAGGTAGCAGAACGTTCTGTGCGAAAGAGACAAGGTAAGAACAAATCTAAGAGTTCAACGCCTAAACTTCAAATCTTCTTACTGTGAAGATAACAGATTGAAAAAGTAGGGAGGATTTCATGTTTGTTTTAAAAATCTGCTTAGGTAGCCTGTGAATATGGTTTGTTCAGCCAGCACGAGTCCAAAGATTTACAGTCACAAGTTCAACAGCAGCGTCACGCATGTAAGCGCTCAGAGTTAAAACAAACGGGCCTAAACTGGACTGAAAGAACCTAAAATCAAAGAGTTGTTGTTAATTCTTATAATGATCCTCATTTTTCATCATTATCTTCTGAGAATTTAAAAAATCTGGATGAATTCCTCAAAAGTATTTCCTCAAAAATGATCACGTGAAGAGTCCTGAAATATACCTATAGCTGGGATGGATTTGATCTGATGACCATCCTAGGCAGACTGAGACAAAAAGTGAAGCAGCTGTTGTGTTTGTTGATCTATGAAACATTTTAAGAGTCTTGTGTTGAAATATGAAACATTCAGACAGGTTTTGTGGTCACGATTGGCAGCATGAAATTGCAGTGAACACAGGAAACTGCAAAAAAAGAATGTCGCTTCTACACATTTTATGAAAACAATCAGAAACTGCATGCTTTCTAGGGTTTATTTAAGATGTACAAACCTGAAGACAGATACCACATCTAATACTAGTCTATATGGTAAGATCGGAAATATCTGAATCCACTCATTAACTTATAAATTCACTTTTTTCTGGACATTGTCAATGTTTCCAGAACCTCAGCTAAATAACATACAAATCTGTGTTCCCTGCGTAACTATGGATCTTCAGACCTCTTTAACATAGCACTGAAGCTTCTGACATCAGTGTATGAATATGCATTATATGTATGTGACATCTAAAGTGCCTCGAGTGGTCAGAGGCTAAAAAATGAGCTGCGTAAGTGCACATGTGAATTTATCAAAACAAAAAAGAAAAAAAATTGAGCAATGTGTTTATTTTTTGGGGGGTTTAAGTGCCTTTAGTTATCAATAAACACTTTGCAAGTTGCCTTGATTCGTGTAAAATGTTACAAACATAATTAAAATGTATTTGCTGAAATATGAGGACGATAGGTGGAAATCATAAGAACGCTTCACAGCAAGTTCAATCTTAAATGCTGCCAGAAATGAAAATTCTGTTAAAATAAATGTTGATTAACACGATAGGTCACACAACTGTGCATTTTGTACAATCAATCTGCAGAAAAGTTTGGTACTGTAGTTTTATTTGATCACATAATTTCAGTCACTGAAACATAAAAAAAGTAAAGTTAAAATCCTGCAAAACTACTTTTACAAACTTAAGATGTCCCAGAAAAACAGTTATACATGTAATTTGACATGTTAAGTTTAAGTTTAATGAGTTTTTCTACAATTTGCATCCCTTCTTGGGAAGATACCGTTTCTGCAGTTTAAGTTGTTTACAAAAACAACAGCTCCGTCTCACAGAGGGTTTTCCTGTGCGTGCTGCTCTAACACTTCACGAATCCTCAGTAAAAAAAAAAAAAAACCTGCAGCCATCTTCTCAGAAGAAATCAGGAAATGGTTCTACAGAGGTGAAAAACACCCTTTTTGAAACATTCACAATTCACCAAACTTTGGTGCATGAGCTAAACATCCCAGAGACTACTTCAAACATTGACTGTGCAACAGTTTTGCTCCGTTATGTAATATGACTGGTTCAGCATCATGTAAACAACAAGCTTAATGTTAGCTGAATGGAAATGTTAAAAGATGTAACATTTGTGCACATGGATATCCAAAGGGAAATAGGCTGACCTATAAAAGTACATAGAAGAATCGCTAAATGTCTGGGGATCAGTGAACTTAACCTGATGTACATATATTGAGAAGTATCTAATACTTACTAAGTTAGCAATGTTTGGATTCAGTTATATGCAGATGATGTGATGGTATTTTACGACTCCAATAAGACCATAATGTCTGAGAAATCATTGAATTGATTGTAACGTATCCCCCTCCAAGGTATAATTATAACTGTTATTGTTACTGTTATTATTATATCTGTTATAACTTTTGTGATCCTGAGACATGCAATTCTAAATCTATCATCAAATCAACATTGTAACTTTTTCTCAATCATCTCAGCTATTCTTTATGTTGCAGACAAACTTACAAATGTTATCATGTAAGTTCACCAAACTAAGAACATTTGAACATGTTAAACTCAATACCTTTCTTTGTTAGATACAAAAAGATACAAAATCTTTTATGGTTTTATCTCCTTAAGAGCACTCACCGCAAGCCACTTCTTACAAAAACATCATCTTAATTAAACTATAGTAATACATTCCTTACTATTTTACTTCAAAGTATACATTTATAAATACTTTGATTGAAATAAACTGCCCCATTATGCCAATACAGTTACCAAAATAACTAATAAGGTAAAATACAGGGTTGAAGATTATTAATCACATATGAAACTATTCACCAAAGACTTGGACAGAGCAACAAATAAAAGTGACATATAACTTAAAGTGTGAAAGGGTTAAAACAATTAGTGCCTAATCATAAGAAGCTAAATTAAAGCTCCTGTGAGCAATGTTCTTGATTTTGGTGTCTCCTCTGAACAAAAAGGTAACCTTCATATTCTGCATAATCCATGTCCTTGTGTTAGTTGACCAAAATCTTCTTGTGTCTTTTTACAGTGAAATCTATTACTCACAGAAGATATTCACTGTTTAAAAAGTAACAAAGGCTGTTTCCTCAGTGTACCTAACCCATGAGGACAGTTGCAGGTATTAAAAAATAGACATTAAAAGTCTTATAATAAATGGTCTAAATTTGCTCTTTTACATTGTAGAGGTGCATTATTGCTCATTTCAGTCTGTTTTATAACCAGTCAAAAACTCCTCACAGGAGCTTTAAGTGTATAAAACATTTTCTGAGTAGAAAAGGTGTAATCTGAATAACACTGACATTAAAAAAAAAAAAAAACTTTAAGCATTCTCACATTAGGTAATGAAGATAATACAGTACTATACCATCCTACAAGATATAATAAACTACAGTACAAGAATAAAGTGGTAGTTTCATTATTTTCTGACCAGAATAAGTCATACTAAAAACTTTTTTTAAAAGATAAACGAAAAATAAAGTCATTATGCAGAGTTACCAGGTTAAAGTCATTATATAAACAGGTTTAAAGTCATTCTGCCACCATAGGAAATAAGAGTCATTTGATTATATGGATAAAGCTGTCATGCCTCATTATGACATTAAAGTCACTATCTCATGGGAATCAAATCCTTATGCTACGCTAAAAGATTAAAGTCAATTTGTTACATGTCCGAGCCCGATAAGTAACAACGATCCAAAATGTTAGAAAAACACGTGTAATAAAGCCCAAAATGTAATAATCTGTCAATAATGTAACAAAAGTGGGAGCCCGAAATGTGATAAAAACAATGTAATAAACACACAAAATGTAATAACTGACCCAAAATGTAACAAATTGCTACATTTTGGGCAAAAAATTATTACGTTTTTGGCTTAATGTCTTGTTACATTATTTGCCTGTTATTACATTTTGGGTTTTATTATTACTTTCTTTTAAATAACATTTTAGGTGACTGCTACAAAATGGGCTCTAACAGTTACAAGACAAATCTCACTAAGCCAAGTTCTGAAAATAAAGTCATGTGTCACATAAGGTTGTGTCACAGCTGTGGTTTTATTAGTCACAGATTTTTATCTTCAGATCACAAGTATCTTGTTTCCTCCATATAACTCATAACGGAGGTGGATGAAATGGGTGTCTGAACGTAGGACGGCCCCCAAAAATTTAACTCCATGTGAGGCATTGAATTATTAATGTTTGTTCACTGCTGACAGAAAACAGAACTTGGGATTTTTCTGGTGAAATCTAAAGATGATGTGATGCTAATACTCTGTGTGGGCTGGCAACTTAATTTTCCTCCTTGTAGGGTTGATTCATTGAACACCTTAACCTGTAAGTTACGGCTGTGTCGCTCTGTTCTTGCTGTCATTGTGTGGAGAAGGTAGCACAATTTTGCTTTTAATAAGTTTAGTTCACAAAAAAGTAAAAAATAAAAACCCTCCTGGATGGCTCAGTTGACAAGTCAAAAGTGTTCTTCATTTTGTCAGATTTTCTCTGCCTTTTCTAACTTAATGCATTTTGTAACTTTTTAACGTGGTGACCCCCAAAGTTTCAGTGCCATTTTTGAAATTTAAGTGTTTTTGCACACTCGTTTCCATTAATAAATCAGAAATGACATACTGTAGTAGTGCAGCGAAGTCAAGTTCTTAAAGTTACATTTCACTGCGTTCACTTCAATCTTCAATTAAAACACTGGTAAGAATTGCTGAACATTGATTAAATTGACTTAAAATGGTTTGTAAAACAATGTAACATTATCAGAACCAAATTGATTATGAAGAAAAAGAACTTTATTAAGGGAAATTCAATTATTATGATGACCACTGAAACTTAATGATCAGTCTTCATTTTAAAACTAATTGTTTTACAGTGCTTTTGAAAACTGATCCGAAATCTGTTGATGCACACCTTGATTCAGCTTTTACTGTGGGATTAAACATTTACTTTTAAATCAAGTCAAACTCTATTTTTTAGAGTATGACTTTATTATTTATTTTTTACAGCACAGCACATTTTAAATGCTTAACTTAAACTGTAACAACTCAGCAATGATACTGTTTCATTAAGAAAACAAAATAAGAGTAATCACATATGAGCAGACAAAAACAAAAAGGAGTACTGTACATTAACCTGGTTTAGTGGCCTGTGGTCAGCTGCCCACATGTGCGCCTGATTTGTCATCAGTGTGTTTTTTCCACATGAACTGTATCCTGGCAGCTCACTGGAATAGTCACCCAGGTACATTCACGAAAAACATTTTAGCATTTCATGTACTTACATATGCTAACTGAGCAAAAATATCAGTTTGGCTGTGAACCCAGTGATTATCATGTATAACCTCCTTATTGTAAAAGTTGAATAGTACCTACTTTAACAAACAGTCATCACTCACATAGTAAAATATAATCACAATACAAATAAAAATACAGCAAGTTCTTAGACATTTTGTCTATATGATTGAATTCGTAGTTTTTCTCCTTTTTTTTTTCAAATATAAATGAAAGTATGCACAAATCTGAAAACTTGAACTCCAGCCTCACTGAACTCTGAGCACAGTTTCACTGGTCTACCTCAACCATCACAGTTTTGGAAATCTCTGAGCGCAAGCAGCATCTTTAAACACAGTTTCTTGACCTGTAACCAATGAGTCTCTCTCATGTAGCAGCTTTGCAAACTCAGTAGGAAGAACACTTTGGTCATGTGTCAAAGTGAAGGCCTCAAATGTGGCTTCAAATCTTTGTGTTAAATTGAAGGCTGTGCACGGAAAAGTATCACTCTTTAAAAACGGTTTCACTCTGTGTCTGTCTGTGGAAAGGAGAGCAGTGATTGGTTTTTCTTGAAGAGGGAATCCTGTTGTGTTTCTTACCTTCTGACAGTGAGACTGAGCTGCCTAAATGATTCCTACATTGTGGTCGAGTTGGAGAAAGGGACGAACAGTGCTTGTAAACCTCCAGAGAAATTATTCAGATTTGGATTTCATATCCACAAACAACAACTATATGTAAATGTGCGTGTACCTGTAAACTAAGAGAATGTATTCAGATCGGCTGAATTCAAATTTCCGTCTTTGCACAGACACCTGCCCACACTTTTTTCCTTTGAACTGCACCTTTGCGATCCAAGACTAGAGAAAACTACAACTTTACGAAGTTAAGAATGAAATTCAAAGGATTAAGTGTCATGTCTTTGCTTTTTCAGTAAATATGAACTTCATAGAGTGTAAAGTACAAGTTTGATGATGTGACGATTGTGCCTATTTCTGTCTGAATCAACAGTCTCCTACACATTTATCTCAGAGTCTGTGTGCGATCTGGAAGTGTGATTGTAGATATGGAAGTGTGTGAGTAATAAACACACAGTGATCGTAGTACCATAATGAGGCATCTGCAACTTTCCACACTGTTATGTGGCCGCTGATGAGATCCAAACAGGAAATACTTCTTCAAACTTTCTGTGGCCGACCCGTTGACTCACAGAAAAACCAAACAGATATCAAATATTACATTAAATCTTTCTGTGTGTGTTTTATTGTGACTAAAGCTCTCCTGGCTGTGACACAAACACACAAACAGAGAGCCTGTGATGGGCTCTTTAAGGGGGAGATACAGTCACAAAGGAAAGCCAGAGAGAGAAGCCACAAACATGCTGTCACTTTCTACTGAATTCCTGTCTGTGGGTGTATGTTTTGCATAGAACATATTGTGATGGTAGTCTGGTTGATTGTGTAGATGCACGCTTCCCTACAGCCTTATAGAGATCTCTGATGTGGTGGTGAGATAGCTGCAAGAAGAGGCCCTCTCTCACGCTTTAACTTATGTCTTATTTACATGATGGGAGTCATCTTAGGTGATGTTCAGAGAACAACAACACGTGAGTACATTTCATGCCTTTAAAATGTAAAAAAAAAAGAAAGAAAAACTGTCAAACAAACAAAGTTCAAGACTACAGAAGCCCTTTGTATAAACAATGTGAACGTTTCTGTATTTGCTGCTTTATTCCAGTGAATGAAAATATGATCAATCATACCTCTTTAAGTTCACCGACTCACGTGTTGCACAAATTTATTTAATGTGGGCACGTATGAAAACGTGTAAACAACAGCAACACTCAAGAAAGAAAATTGTAACTTCCTGTTTTCTCAGAGTGGCCGGCGATGTGATTTGCCCCGTCTTTGGCCTGACTCTTCCTGCCAGCCCCCGAAGCGCAGTTTTATGTTAAGTTGAGGTAATTAGGGAAAAATCCACACAAACGAGTTGGCGGGGACAATGACATTTGTGTGGTACAATAACTATGAACTTAAGAAAGAAGCATGAATGAGAGCATTAAAATAAATATGAACATCCATTATTGGTATACAGCTGTGCTTATTTATTTATTTTTTTAGCATAATATCAATATTTTCAAAAAAAGATAGATAGTTAAGACAGTTGCATCCATCTTGAAAATAACCCCCACTATTGGAAGTGGATCAAAGTCTTCTGGACACCTTTTCATTGTTTTAATCAATCTTAAAGATTGCTGGTAGATACTGCAAGAGCAAGCCAGGTTTCTAGAGCCTGTGATTAGTCAGTAAGTGCAAAAATCCCAGTAAAATATGTCTTTTTTTGTTTGTTGTTATTTATATGTTCGTTATTGCAGGCAGGCACAAAATGACCAGCTGCTCATTACACAAGTTGAAGTGATCCCAGAGCCATTATCTATGGGATATAAAAAGACAGCAGAACACAGTGAAAAACTGTTATGACTTTAATATGACTGTGTTGAAAGCTATTGAAAATATGAAATAGATGAATCTCAATTATGCAGCAATATAAAAATGCTAGATGAATGTTATAGCTAGAAATCTTCAATAATGCCTGCGTTGAAAAAATGATCAACCCTGATATTTTACTAATTATACTTATTAGAGTGATGTCTGTGTATTGATGGAGAAAATTTGAATTTATATCTATAAGGAGAGAGTTGTAAAGTGTGTTTTAAGAGTTTTGTGTCTCTTTAAGTATTTCATCACTGAAAACAACATGACTTCTGACCTCAGTCTCTGTTCTTTGAGAAAAAGATACCAATCTTTGACCCAGAAAGATGAGAGGTTTCTGTACTTAAAAGATAACGTATCACAGTTTTGTGTTTGAGAACCATCTTGTGAAGTAAAATGCCAGGAAAGAAACCATCCAGGCATCTTTGACAAACACGAGTTCGTCCCAGTGGTTTCAGGTGACATGTGCTGCGCAAAAGTGGAGCACTTCATCTCCCACTCAGTCTGGAGACTTCTGTGGTGATGCTATCAGTGTGTGTGTGTGTGTGTGTGTCTTAGCACCTGCAGAACAGCCTCTCTGTCTGAGCTCTGCAGAAAACATTTTGCACCACTGCAGACTTTAATGTGTTTGATGCTGGATGCTGATTGGTTGGTTGTGCATTATTTCCAGACAAACAAATCTTGTGTTTTCACTCTGGACTGAGACACATGGATTAACTTCAGTACTGACATCCCATAAAATCTGTGTTGTGATGTTGCTGCATTTACAGGGCAGAAATGCACAAACCAAGCATCCTCAGAAGATAATTCACATGTTTAAGGAGTACAAATAGGGTGTAAAGAAAAGTATAGTAATGAAACAAAAGCAAGATTTATGTAGTGGTTAGAGCATTTCTTTACATTGTGCAGAAGACTGAGTCTTTTTTTCCTCCTGACCCTGGCTATGCTCTGTACTCCCACAGTTTCTATATGCTAAAACGTAACTGAAACCCTGAGTTTCAGCTGGAGTTCACAGTGCAAAAAAAAGAAAAACAGTCACGCAATTGTCTCCTTCATTGTGATAATGCCAACGCAGAGATGATTCCAGATAAAAAACCAAGCTGAGTATTTACCCAGAAATAGTAGCAGGAAACCCCACTCAGTGTGTGGAACTAAGTTTAAACAACATGAAATCTTAAATAATGCAATATGTCTTTGTTATTATTAATGGTAACTACTAGAACTTTGAAAATAAAATTTAGAAATGTATTCATAGGTGACAAGTCAGGACTGCAGGCAGACCAGAAGGACTCTCTTACTACAGAGCCATGCTGTTGTAATCCCTGCAGAATGTGGTTTGTCATTGTCTTGCTGAAATATGAAAGTCTTCCCTGAAAAAGTCTTTGTCTTGTTGGCAGCAGATGTTGATCCTAAACCTGTAGTTATTGTTCAGCATTAATGGAGCCTTCACAGATTTAGAAGCTACCAACGGCATGGGCTGTAATGTGTCTCTATTCCATCACAGGTGCTTGATCTTGAACTGTACACTGAGAGCAAGTCAGGCAAAGAGAATATGCAGCGTCCATGATTTCCAAAATGAATGTCAATTTTTTTCATCAGATCAGAGTTTTCCTCAGGACTCAGGTCCAGAGAACTTTGTGGGTCATATTTATTTTTGGATTTGTGTACACTGCAACCAACAGTGTTTAGACATTAAATAATAGATGTGACTTTGAGCCCATGCAGGGACTTCCACTACAAAGTCACAAAATATTTGTTACCATTTAGAGACTCGGCCTCTCTGAATGTCCTTTTTATACCCAGTCATGTTACTAACACGCAGGAGATGAAGGTGTTTGTGTTGATGTAGGTGTTTTCTAATCATTAGACAATTATTTGTTGTCTCTTTTTTATTTTTTTAGAGCATGTTTCTGGCAACAAACTTAAAACGATCAAATATTTTTCATAAAAAAGAAAACAACTTTTCTGTTTCGACAGTTAGTTGCGCTGTCTTAATGCTTTTTCATCTTTTTTCAAGTATGCAGAGAGGTATGTATCTGGTTCTGATGAATCTAGTATCTGTCTCAGTTTTAGTTTGACAAACTGTGTGGGCTTTGGTATTTAGATGATTCATTTTCCTTTAAACCGTTGTCAAACCTGTCTGAAAAATGATATTATTGGTTTTAATAATGATATTAATAATACCTGCAGGTTGGAGATGGAGGACTAATTCGAGAGTGTAGGAGTGTTATTTCCAATCAGTCACTAAGTTCAACATCTTTACTTTATGAAAGCATCAATGTCTTTCCTGTCACAGCAGAGATGCCTGAGACGTCTAGTGAGACTGTGAGATGCGACCCCAATGAAATTCATCCAAAACACGACAGGAGTAAACAAGTTGAGGGGCCACACCGTCAACTTCAGACTCCTTCTGCTCCTCAGGACAGAAATGTAACTCCACCCACCTCAGAAAGTCAGGTATTTAACAAACTCTCTTCACCAGACCTCCATCAGCACAACTGCAGACTCTATATTTTTAATTTATCACATTTCTTTCAGTGCAGCTTTATGTGATTGTATGACAAATTCTATAATTACTGAACATGGACCACATAACTAAAATGACCATGTATTAAAAACACCTCCTTAATTCCTCGTTTTCAATATTTTTTACAACCCCAACTCTAAAAAGACAATATAAAACAAAAACAGGTTTAGGAGGAACATCTACTGCCATCCAGTCAAAGACCTTTTTCAGGGAACACCTTCATATTTCAGCAAGACAATAACAAACCACATTCTGACATCAGGGATTACAACAGCATAGTAGTAGAAGAGTCCTGCTGATAAACTGGTCTGCCTGCAGTCCTGACTTGTCCCCCATTGACACTTAAACTTTTAAAAAGGAGACCTTGGATTTTTGTGCACATAAAAGCTTATACCAGGCAAGACTGGGAAAATAATTCACATCCAAAACCTTTGTGGTTGCCTTGTAAGTGTTGTTTTAAAAAAAGAAATCATTTAACACAACGGTAAGCACGTCCCTGTCTAAGACTTTTTTTGCTAGTATTAAATTTAGAATAAGTTTATCTTTCATAGAAGAACAAAGTTTTTCAGTGTCATCATTTCTTATGTTGTCTTAACAGGTTAGATTAAATTCAAAGTCTATATGATTTACAAACCATCGAATTTTGTGTTAGTCAACATTTCACAAGACTTACTTTTTTATTTTTGGATTAACTTTCAGTTATTTTATTTTGAATAACATTTTCCTGGAGTAAGGAAAATTTTAGCCTTCTTTGGTACTTTCAAGAGTACTGATCAAATCTTGCAAATATACAACACTATGCGAAAAGGTGCTTTTTATTGGTCTGAAATAGTGATATATGACTAACTTAGCACTTATTGACAATGATGCTGAGTTAGAGACGAATTAAAAGCATGTATATAGCTTGTTTATAGAAACAAGGTTTCTAATGAAAATGAAAAGTGCATAAAACTTCGAAAACACTGAATATTTTAAAATAAAACTGCCAGGATTTACACCCAAGAAGATAGATTGAGCCATAAAATATCATTTTTAGTGGGTTGGGGAATCGACATGGTCCCCTACAAACAAAGCTGAGATATTAAGAAGTCATCAATAGAAATACAGAGATGCTGTCTTATGATGCTAGTTATTAAATTCTGCTTCTTATTTTCCATATGCATGTTTCCTCAGAGCTCCGGCAGTGTGGAGGTCATGAAGCAGCGACAGCAAAGACCGTCAGTGCTGCGCCAACTTTCTCAATCAGCCTCCAGACGGTACTCACATGGTACTCAGACACACTTCCTTTTTGGCATGTCTGCGCCAGTTTCATTCTGGTTTTATCAAATGTGCACAAACAAAAGAATGAGCAACAGCATGTATTTAAACAAATCAAATGACATCTACACCATTGTCTCCCAGCTCCTCCTCCTCCTCCAGCCGTCTGTAAAGAAGAGGCGGATTCAGGCCGTCTGTCGTGCTCCTCCTCACCTCATTGGGGCTCCTCTCTCGGACAGAACCATCACTTCCTCTCCTCCAAGAGAGAGGGAGTAAAGCAAAGCTCTGCTGATTCCAGGCTTCAAGATAGGTGAGGAAATAAGATGGTTTGGGGTCTAAGGAATGGTCCTGAAATATGTTGCAATGGCAAAGTGAGGTATATATGAAGCCCCATGTGTGGTAAATGTTAAATGAAAGTGGATCAGATTGTGATTGGAAGTTTTCTTTTACTTTTTTTTTTTTTTTTTTTACCCAGAAAGGTAAATGACCACATATCCTCGGGGCATCTATTTGAGGGTTTTGCATAACTGAGCCAAGCACAGTACCTTAGTTTGGCTTTTTGGTTTGGAACTTAACTCAGAAAATCTCACCATGCAGAAAAGGTGCAACAAATGTCTAGTTAGAGAACCACATGACTGAGTTAAATCTGTGGTAACAACTTTACTTTTTCTTAATCTGCAGATCCAATTTGACTCAGGATAAACTCTTTTTTTGTCACACAAACAGCCCTTTGAAGCTCATTTATGTTATTTTTGAGTTAAACTTTCACATCTCTGTCCCCTCCAGCATCCCTGAGGCGACCAGAGCTCTGTATGTGAGCGGTTTCTGCCGCTGGCCCGGCTGTGATGCAGTGACTGAGGATTTTCACAGTTTCCTGAAGTGAGTCAACTGTCTAGCATCACATTTATTGAATCACAGGTGAGGTCTGACATTTAAAACTGTCAGACCTCGTGGCATTTGAATCCTTAAGCTCTATCGTCAATCACACAGAAAGCAAGACTATTGAACAGGAGCTGTGTTTATTTTAATTGTTATCCAAGCCTTCTGTTTCTTCACTTTATTTGCTAACTAGTTTGCTGCTTTTTCATTATTGTTTTCACCTATTCTCTGTCTTGTGTCCCCCTTATCATGTCATATTTATCAAGACGCGAGTGAGCTGCAGGCCTCTTAGCCAGGTGACCCTTGTAAAAGAGATCTCAGTGTGTTATCACCTAGTGAGAAAAGGGTAAAATAAGATAACTACAAAACTACCAAAGCCAACAAGACCATCATTAACAAGGCTGACAATTTCTACACTGAAAATTTTAACACATGAAATCACCAAGTGTCCGATCACATGACTGTAAGCGTGTCTAAGAAACAGTTGCTACCTCTACAAGTAAACAAAAGAAGATACCTGGGAGAAATCTGATCACAATTCAAATGACGCTCAAATTAACGCTTATTCTTGTTTTATTTTTTAAGACATCTGCGCTCTGAGCACGGCCACAGTGACAGAAGCATGGCTGAGTGGAAGGTGCAGCAGGATATTGTTCAGTGCATGGAGAACCAGGTGAGGACGACATAAATGCATGAGTACAAAATGTTAAAAACAAAGCATATGCTGTCTTTTGGTTTTAAATCATGAGTTGAATCACCTCAGTCAGTGTGTTTGTACCAAATAGTTAGATATAAGCATAATTTTTAAAAGTGTAAGTTGTGTCTTAATAATCAGGTTTTCCCCTCAGCATAAAAACTATGAAAATTAAGTGTGTTTTTTCCCCTGTATCTTAACTTTGCATTTACCTTTTATGAATACTTACATTTGACCCAGATAACATTTTGGCCAAACATCATGGGGGTATTTCATATAGTGCACAATGATGCAAACATTATCAAGTTAAAGCCGAACAGAAAGTAGGACTAACTCATGATTAAAAACGTTTTCTGCAGGTTTGAAGTCATTTAAACTATTTTAGTCAGATTCAGCCACTGCAATTTTCTTTTTCCCTCAGCTCATACTGGAAAAGCAGAAACTTTTCGCCATGCAGCTTCACCTCTCTGAACACAAGCACACTGATCTGGTAAGCTGTTGGTCCACTTTCACTTTTTCTGTCAGAATAATCTGCAGCTTTTTTCACATTAAAAACACATAAAAAGTTTGAAAAACCCTTGACTTCACTGTGCTATTTTCTCCTCAAAAAGAAAGCAAGTAAAGCCCTCCTCTCATTCAGATTCAGATTCAGACAACTTTATTAATTCCCGAAGGGCAATTCACTTGTTGTTAAACGATCAGGAACAGACAAATACCAGACATTCACAGCAGCATATGGCCCAAACATTCCCCTGTCAGCACCACAAAACAGGATGCCCTCAGAAACACTAAGAGATCTCAGGTTCCGCAACAAGTGAATCCTTTGTTGACCTTTTTCTATTATTGCCTCTGTGTTCTGAAAGAACTTTAGGCTGGAGTCAAACATAGTTCCAAGATACTTGTGAGAGTCAACAATCTGTACATCTTCACCATGGATGATGCTAGGCTCAGGTGAAGGCCCCCGGTCAGTCCTTCTGAAGTCAATTATTATTTCCTTAGTTTCTGGACATTGAGATCAAGGAAGCTATCATCACCATGGCCTGACTCTGAGCCTCAGAGAAGGGACAGCAGAGCTGTGTCATCTGAGAATTTAACCAGATAGCTGCTCTCTTGGCTAAACCTGCAGCTGTCTGTGTACAAGATGAAAAGCAGAGGAGAAAGGACACAACCCTGAGGAGAACCAGTGTTAGACACTGATGGCTTAGACATGTGACCATTCACTAAGACCCGTTGGACTCTGTTTGATAAAAAGTTTAAGAGTAACAATAAAAACTGACCAGGCAATTTAAAATGAGAGGAGAGTCTCTCAATTAAAATATGAGGCAGCATTTTATTAAAGGCCGATGAAAAGTCAGCAAATAAAAAATCCCTCTCCATCCTCACATGCAGAAGGCAGCGTCTGATTGGCCATACAGCCTCCCTCTGTTCCTGCCTCAGCCTCTGCTGGCAGATGGAGATGCGGTGCAGCAGTGGGCTCTTAAACACCTGGAGGAGATGTCTCAGCGCGGACACAGAGCTGCTGCTGCTGCTTCTGCACACTTCCTGCCAGGTAATGCAGACTCAATGAAAAGATGTTCTGGATGCAAAATAAAACAAGAACATTTCAATCAAGTCTGCTCATGATTGAAATGTTTAATTTATCAAAAAAAAAAAAAATCTTTGTTTTGAGTTTATTCAAATTAAGCTCCATCAAGAACTTATTTGGGTGGATAGAAATCAATCAGACTTTGTCACTAAAGCACTTTTCTCTACAATAATCGAACACAGAGTGCTGTACTTGAACAAAAGTGAATACTAAAATAAATCCAGTACTACAAGATGCAAGATAATTTAATATCATGATTACTCTACATGTCCTTGGCTTGCTTCATTAAAATGTTGAGATTTTTTTCTGTATATTTTTTTAGGAAAATTAGTGTAAGAACCTGCATAAATGATCATGGATTTTAAATGTAAGGTAAAATTGATGGTTTTATTTCAGAAGAACCCAATTAATTGAAAAAAATTATTCAAAGCATCAATATTCTTCATGTGTCGTACCCTTTTCAACCTCATAATACTGATCATGCAGCATGTGAAATACGAATTAAACTGATGACGGTCTGATTGTTGTTTCACAGATTTGGTTCCCAGTCTTGATTTTTACAAATACAACAACATCAGGCCTCCATACACCTATGCCTACCTGATAAGATGGGTAAGTACTGAAATAAATAAATAAATAAAACTGCATGCAAGAGCTCATGTATGCTATCATTGTAAGAACAGAGAAAGAAATCTGGATGATTTGATTTGAGCAGGTCAAACATCAACCTCTCGATAAAAGTCATGGAGGTTCTCTTGTATGAACTTTTAAACACTGCTAAAAAAAATATGAAATGTCTTAATTTAACTTAATTCAGTTCAGCTTAATGGAGAGGAAAATATTAGCATTTGAAGACATTTACTCATGATGGTGCAAACTCCGCAGAACAGGCTGAAGCTGAAAATCTCTGGATTTACAGAAGAGGCTCATTTTGTCAGACAGAGATTTTTACAGCATGTCTCTTGTTTCTTTCTGACTATTTTCAGTCGATACTAGAGTCTCCAGACAAACAGCGCACTCTGAACGAGATCTACAACTGGTTCACCACCATGTTCTACTACTTCAGACACAACATCGCCACCTGGAAGGTCTGAAACACCTGCATTACTTCTTTTTCATTTCGTTTTTGCTCTTTTAGGGTCAGAAAGGACTCAGAAACATTTTAAAAATATATTAAAATCTATTTATTTGCAGCTGTAGAACACTTCTTGTAGATATGTGTGCATATTGGCGAATTTATATTATAACCTGACAGAAAAGGGGAAGGTTTATGTGAAATGTAGCCTCAACTTTTCCCTGTATAGCAGTGGTAACACCCAGTTTTATTTTCTGTTGCTTTTATTTACAGCCGCAAAAATTTCATTCAAGGTACCTTATAACAGTTTAATTTTCTTCTTGCTTCTCTTGCAATTTTCTTGTTTTACCCAGAATGCAGTGCGTCACAACCTCAGTCTCCACAAATGTTTTGTGCGAGTGGAGGGAGGGAAAGGAGCAGTGTGGACCGTGGATGAAACAGAGTACCAGAGGAGGAAAGGACAGAAGTATCACAGGTACAAACAGGAGCCTACTTTGATCTGCATCAGGGCTAAGCTTAACAGAAACCTTTTAAAATCCGGATCAGGGCTGAAATTCTCAGAACCTGCTTTAATCCAGATATGGGTCTATGTAAACAGGAACCAGTTTGCATCCAGATGAGAGCCGATATCTTTAGTCCTGATCTGGATCGAGGCAAACAGGAACCTGGTGATCCTGACCAGGGCTTATATCACAAGGAATCAGCTTAGTTCTGGATCTGGGCAAATATAAATGAAACCAGCTCTGCCCTGGGTCAGAGCTTCTACAAACAGGAACCAGCTCTGATTTAGATCAGGGCTTATTCAAATGGGAGTCAGGTCTGATCTGGATCAGGTACCATGGTGACAAATGGGTAGAGAGTGATCTGTATGAGTGTATCTGAGAAACTGTGTGTGTGTTTTTCAGGGATTGTCCTGTGAAGTGGCTCAAGTCCTATTCTCATTACTGTCCAGAGGAGCAGTGATCACCAGCAGGTGGCAGCACTGAGCTTCTCGTCATACCAGAAGCTGGAGACTGGGTTATACCAATTACAAGGACCACACAACACCACACTTTGATAAAAAGCAGAATTCAGATGGTGCAGTATTTCATCTGCTTTTGTAGAAATTCTTAAAAACTTTCATTTTGATCTTCCTGGTTTGTCCTGTCTGTATAAAGAACTGAAAATGTTTTTTTTATCCTGAATTGTTTTCAAATTTGTATTTGATGGTTGTGTGTCTTAATGCATATAAAAGCAGCTTCTTTTTCACCGATTTCTTCTCCTGAAAATAAATAAAAGATTTTTTTTAGTCTGCCTGAGTCAATGATCTTCTTCAGACAGGAGGTCAGAGGTTAGTCATCTCTCTTCATCCCTCTGAAGACAGCTTCCTACACTCAGTCTCATCACATCTGCTCTCTTCACATCTATGATCTGAACTTTCATAAATCAATTTCAGAATGTGTCATTTCTCTCTGTAACTTTCCGCCTTTTTCTTCACCCACACAACAAGACAGTTTGTTTAAAAACACTCAGAGGAAACTTACTTTGCCTGAAATTCTGTTTGTGAGTACACTGAGACTGAAATATGACACCAAGTGGCTTGAGAGTAAAATTCATGCAGAAATATAACTTCATCATGCAGGAGTGTATGTCATGTGGGTTTTAATGTGTAATTCTTCTGGTATTCTATATCTTAGTTATGGTCAAAAAAATCCAAAGAGAGAAACTAAATCCTCACTGTGAATCTGTGTCTTGCCTTTAATCTGAAATAAAGGGAGGATCTAGTAGACAGGAGGACTTAATGTGACCACAATATGCCACAATAGTCTTCAAGTTGGTTTGGGCTCAGGTGCCAGCAGGTAGTGCACAGGGGTTAAAAAAAGTGGAGTATAATGGGATTTTGTCCCATAAAATGTCTCGTGTCACTGTGCGCCTTAGATATAATTGAAACTGTTGCATCTTTAAAAAACTGAGACTTAAAAAACAAACTAATGAGATGGAATTACGGTGGCAAACTAAAGCAGTATAATGTGTAAAATAAAAAAACCCTCAAATTTATTTTTAAATATGTATAAAATTAATAAAATACTACAAAACTTTGCACTGTCAATTACATGCAAATGTTAAATGATGGAATATTGTGGTGGTAACACCTGGAACTCAGCTAGTCAACTTGAAAATGTAAAAAGTGGTTTTATAATCAATTAATCAATCAAACTTTATTTTAAGGCACTTTTCATACAATGAATGTAGAACAAAGTGCTGTCCATTCGCGCACGATATTAAAAAACAATTAAATAAAATAAATAAAACTACAAATACCAAACCCCACCCACCCTCCCAACCCCCATTCAACACATACAGCACTCACAAACTCACAAACACAGGTAAAGACCAGAACACTTCAACTTGCCCCAGATGACTGAGGAAAAGCTATCTTGAGTTAAAATAAGATGAGGAAACACTGGATCTTGGACTAAAACGTTAAAACCGTAATAAAACATAATAAAGGTGATTAAACATTAAAATTTAATTAGATAAGTCTTAAAACCAAACAATAAAAAGGGGTGATAAAAGACAAAATAATCACTCCAGTACTAAAACAGCGTAAAATCACAGAATGCAGATTAAAGGATTAAAACAAAATCCAACTAAAAACCAGACTGAAAAGGTAAGTCTTTAGCTTACTTTTAAAGTATGGACACTAGGTGTCGCTCTCAGGTTTATAATCAAACCAAATAACTTTAATTTTTTCTAACTTTTTCAGATCAAGCACTCATTAAATAGATATAGCTTTTTAAAAGTACTATCACCGTATAAAACAATATTTGTATCTATTTGACGCCGCAGTCGAACCTCCGAGCCGGCAGGTGGCGACAGCGGTTATGTAATGCGGTGGTTGCCATGACCCCGCCTAACTCGTGTTCAAAAAATAAAACACACAACAAGGAAGTAGCAGAAAGCGTTTGTTTTGATTTTAGGGTCTGTTATCACTCCTTTTTAGTGTCTGTTTTTCTGAATTTTCTCTGTATGAAATAATGTCAATTCTGGTCTAAGTGTCACGGTGTGCATTGGTCGTAGTTTGTCAGCATTTAGCCGCTGCTGTGTGGGTATAAAAATAAAGAGAAGAATGGCAGATGAAGCTCCTTTCCAGTTTCTTCACAATGAGATGATTCAGTACATTTACAAGACAGCAGAGAACGGAGAAACGGTGAGAAAATGAGACTGTAGAGTTTTGTTCGTTTTGTTTTTATGGTCATAAAAGACGGATATTTGAAACTGTGTTCATTTTATTTAGGAGAATGGCAGAAATATTACCAAACTGGAGACCATGGGGTTCAGAGTGGGACAAGGACTCATAGAGAGGTAAAGACTGAAAAACTGTCAGAGTGTCTGAGAAATATATAAATATATAACTAGAGATTCAACCTGAAACAGGCTCATAGGGAGTATTTTCCTCTTTACTATACAGACATGTTTGTCCTACATTGAAGACGGTGCAACACTAATGATCACTGAGATAGATCTGTCAACAGTATTTTAAAGTAATCGTCATCCTCCCTCACAAGACTGGTATCACCATAATGTTTTAATGTTTTTCTACACAACACATTTGTCCATCCTGGTGACTGACCAACAATTTTAACACACTCACTGGCTGATGTTTATCATAAAAAGTCTTTTTTAATTATGAAAATAATAACTAAAACTTAGCCATTGACTATTTCTACAGAATTTACACATCAGATATCCATTTGTAACAACTGGAGGGGAATTAATTGAAGAACAAAGAGAAGATGGTTGAGGAGGTAGAAGAGCTGCAGATCTGGACTAGTGGCATCAGATTTGACTTTACAAAAGTCTCCTAAAAGACTTTGACTTACTAGCCTGAAAAATGTTCTTAAATCTTTTCAGCACAACAAGAAAAAACAATTGTTAAAATCTTACTGTAACTCTCAGCTTGAGGGAACTGATGTAACTGTAAAGTGTCCAATCGTCCCAGGAACTTGCTGATCAAACAGTGGCAGTATTGTTCTTCTTCCGTGGTCCTCTCTGAGCCTCCTAACTGTTTCTCCAGACTGACCAAAGACACGGCGAGGTATAAAGACGAGCTGGACGTCATGAAGTTCATCTGTAAAGACTTTTGGACCTGTGTGTTCAAGAAACAAATCGACAACCTGCGAACCAATCACCAGGTAACTTTTCTTACAGCAGTGTTTTATCTTTGACAAACTCAGCTGCTCTCCTCTGCTCTGTGCTTATGCGTTCATGTGTTTCAGGGCATCTACGTTCTGCAGGACAACAAGTTCAGATTACTGAGTCAGATGTCAGCAGGGAAGCAGTATTTGGATCAAGCCCCAAAGGTACTCTGTCCCAGTTTAAATCAACTCAAATTCAAAACTGTGACGAACTCAACGAGACTCTCTAAGCTGATGGACAGCAGGTTTTTACAAAGTGACAGCTGATCCTTGAACAGTGGTTGTTCACACTACTACTGACTCACATCTTAAACAGACAACTAAAGGTTTAATAGTAATTGGTCTCTTTTTCCTTCATAATCCAGGACTTTGATGAGTGAGTGTTGTCGGCTTTCCAAATACTTTGATTTGCATTTCTTACTTGTATTTGTTATCCAGATTATTATGGCTACACAGTCTTTAATCTTCAGAAAGCAAATGTTAGAGTTAGTCTTTCTTTGTGCGTTAGCGATCATGAGAAGGACTAACACAGAGGTGATTGTGGTCGGATTAGTCTGTACTAGCGTGAGAATAACATGATGACACATCTGCCTGTTGGTCTCTGCAGTACCTGGCCTTCACCTGTGGTCTCGTGAGAGGCGGTCTGTCTAACCTGGGAGTGAAGAGCATAGTGACAGCCGAGGTTTCCGTCATGCCTGCATGTAAGACGCTCTGCATCTCTCCTCCATCATCCAATCAGAGACACTCTGACGTAGTTAATTTTCTCTGTCATGAGTCATTTAAAATGTCTACTTCACAGATGAATCATTTTCAGTGTTTCAGTTTTTATTTTGAGTTGTGAATTAAAATAAGTGGATATTTCAGTCACCAGAAACTCCTCAGAGAGCAGAGTCAATAAGTCAATTAGTTATTTTGTCTTTTCTTTTAAATTGAAAATAACTTCCTGCATTAATTTAGAACTCTTTCATAATGACAGTTTCTGTATTAAAAACAGTGTATGTGGGCTTCTGCATGGTTAGTGCTTCTTTGAGTGTTTTCAAAGTCTGTCCTCTAGGGGGCATTTTGATCTGAGGTACTTAAAAAAAGACTTGATCACATTTGAGTCAGTAAATAAAAAATAATACACTTGACCATGTAAAACCTTTTGCATGAATGTTTTTTTGTAAACATGATTCTTGGAATTTATTTGCTGTATCTCCCCCCTTTTTCCAACTTCTAAAAAAAAGCTGTGTAAACTGAATGAGTTTTTTTTTTTAATCAAAAGCTGTGGACTAACGTGTTTGTTTTCTCTTTCTGTATCCTTGTTTTTCTGCAGGTAAATTCCAGGTCATGATCCAGAAAGTGTAGGAAAGAAAGTGCCGCTCTCACTCTGCACTCACTTTTGCCTTCATTTGTTTTTGAGTTTTGTCTTACAAGGGAAGTGCCATCAGTCCTCATAATATGTAAAGCACACTTACTGCATCTCTACACTTTGATGATATCAGTAATCAATATTACCAATATAATACCCAAATTATTCTAATCAATGATGCAGTGATTTATTCTGATGTTAATATAAGAGTTAAATCAACTTTCAATGCTAAACCTGAGAGCTTCTACCTGAGTGAATGTATGACAGAATAATGTCCAACGATTATAGAAGAGCTTTGATGCCCCCGTGTGGCACTCAAGTAAACTGCACAACATCAGTCAGAATTCTTATATATCAACTGTTAATCTTTTAAAAACAGCTATAATATATTAATGAAGAGCTGTATCTATGTTTTACTATAGAAGAAAAAATCTGCATGTTTTCATCCAGCTCTACAAGTTAATCAGAGAGCATAAGCCTCGGTGCTTTTTAATCAGTTCATCAAACAGGAGAAGATTGTTTTAGTTACAAATTAAGTATATAAAAAAACAGTAATTTAAGGCCAGCACTACAGTTGAGTTGAGAGCCAAAGAAGAAAGTTCACAGAGTGAGTTGACTTTTGTAATCCTGTTAACCAACATGTTTAAATGTCATTCAAACAAACTGTAAAAGGCCGTTACATTTGATCACAGAGCTCCCTGCACACTGAAGAAACTAACCGTAGCTCTGATTATGTTCAGCAATACTATCACAGCATAAAACTTTATGTATAAACTACAGGTGGAGTTTGTTTTTAATAAAGATGTTTTATTGAACCGGAGCTTCGAGTTCAACCATTTGAAGTCAGAATTATGAAAAAACATATCAGAAATTTGGAGGGAAATCAATTAAAGAACAATGTTGTCCTTATTTTTTTTTTCAGTTGTCTGACTGGTGCAGATATATTTAATAAATCTTCATCTCCAGCCACAAACATCAGAAGAGAGAGAACTAGACTGCATTCAGAAATGTTGGATATTTTAACAAATGTCTGATTTTCTTTCTTGGATTTGGTTCAGGGGGACTAAAATATTGACTCAGAATAAGGGATGAAAGATGAGAAATCTTGAGTGTCAGAATCACCTTAATCAAAGAGCATTACTCACACAAGTCCACTCATCTGCTGTCACTATGACTGAAGTGACACACCTGACCTGAAAAATACTGACAGCCTTGTATTTTTCTGTGGAGACTTTAACTTCAGCTGTTCTTTGCTCACACTGAAGCTCTAAAAACAACAGCCATCAATCACACAAGTGTACAACAGCTGTCAAGTATGAGGTCAGGAATTCAAACCAAGTTCAAGAGTTTATGTGCTCGGCTTCACTATAGTGTAGCTCCACTTAACTCTGCTCTGAAATATTCAGACTGTTTCCCAAAGAAAGAAGAAAAAGTGCAATTATGCAAACAGTTTATTATCATTTTATGAAAAAAACAAAAGTTTTTTAAAAACAATCACAAGATGTACAAATGTTTGACCAGATTTATTCTGCTCTTGAAATCAAAGACTTCCAACTCACAAACATCCAGTTATTAAACCCAGAAAACAATAAAATCACAGCATATAAAAAATGAATCAGTTTTTAATGACTGTTTTATACTTTTATATAAATTTCTGATCCATGGACGTAGTTTCCAACAGGTAGCACTCATGCAGATTTCCTTCAGCAGCCAGTGCAGGCCACATATTGACAGATCTCACAGACGTCAGCGTTGGATGCTACGTCAGCTGAGAGAGAGAGAAAACAAATTATTTCTAATATTTTTGCCAATTCTCTGGAGTCTAAAATCCCTGTAAGATGTGTCTGCAGAGCCAGAGGCTGCAGTTTCAGGACTGGAATTCTTGGACTGCATTTAAGGACCTGTATTTGGCATTTGTGGTTAGAATAAGGGTGTGGGTTAGACATTATAAAAGAAGACCAGTATGCCTGACTTAAAATTTATCTGTGAGACTGCAGCTATGTGGTATTAGCCTTGAAAAAAGTCCCACAATGCATCCAGTTTGTGGCATTTATTTCCACTTAAAATACTATTGGAGAAATTTATGGGATAGCACCTTAAGCTGCAGTCGTAGGGAGCACTAGGTGGTGCTGCTGTAAACAACTAGATGTCAGTAATGCAGTCCTGAATCTGCAGTCTCCAGGTCTGAAGACACATGCCTCTCATTAGGACCCCACTTTGAAAAACACTGTCCTAACCTCACCAAGCTCAAACCCCTTCTTAAAATTTAACCACATATCCGCATTATTGATCTGTATGAATATAAAGGATGAGGATGTTGCGTCCTGTCACCACAGATGATCATTAGGAGGTCATCGTTTTGGATTAGAGATTAAACCTCGAGTTTATTCAGATGTTAACAGACAGTATCATTAAAACTGTCTGTAAACATGATTCACTGCTCCTGATTCCACTTTCTGCATTAACATTGACCTTCTGAGCTTCACCTGTGCAACGAGGGATTATCAGCAACACGCTGGGTGAGTCTACTTACAGTTTCCCTTTGAATGAAGCATTAAAATCACTCATTTGGAGAATAAGAGTGTCTTCCTGTGCTCCTTCAGCTTGGAGAGGCATTTTGAGAGATCTTAAGTTAATCATTTCAGGATCCCTCAGATTTTAGCTGTCATTTTAAAGACACATTTGAAACTGGCAGATTAACTTTTGTCTTTTCCTGTTTATCCATGTCTCCACTCTTAACTTATTCAGTGGGTACAAACTAAAATCGCCTGTTGACTTTTCCCGCTATCATAGAGTATACACAATAACTTTGACGACTGTTGGATTATATGTGAATTGTAAAAAAAAAAAAAAAAAGCTTTTACCCAGCCGAGCCAGAGACTCTCCAGCGTCTTTCCTCAGACACAAGGGTTTGAAGTCTTCGGGTAGATCAGGATGTGAACACACAGCTGCTGCTTTGACCACCATGGCCTGCAGCTTCTGATCAGCCGAGGAACCGACTCCGTTCATCAGAGCACCAAGAGCTTTTACCGACTCAAGAGAGAACTGAAAGTCTCCTTCCTGCAGGGGGTGACAGGTTTGCACGTGAGGATCTCAAACACAGCAACAGTGAATACTCACATCTTTGGCATTATATGTAAAAGGCTCATGCATTTGTCCACCTCAGGGTTTATTTCACACCTTTTGCTGCAAGAGCAGACAAGTAATCCACACAAATAATTGTAATTTTTAGAATCCTAAAGGTACAGTTTAAGTGCATTTTGCCTTCTTGTTTCAGAACCAGTGCTGTTAGAACCTGCACTCTTTATAATGTCCGGCACAGGTCAACCCCACTATTAGAGAAAGATGCTAGGCAATGAAGAAGTCAGTGAGAAATGAGCCAGCTGCTGAGTTGATTAATTGCCTTGGTAAATATTTTTTTAGTGATTCAGTGGTCTCAGTTTCTTACAGTTGCTTTGGTGTTAAACAGATAGCACAGGGTGTGTTTTTAGGTACCGATTGACAAATAAACGACCACCTGGTTTCCCCATTCCCTATTTAAAACAGGTGATTCCACCAAATTGACCAGTTACTGGTTCAAATAAAGTTTTTTAAAAGAAAATCATAAAAAATCTTGTACATCAATTAAAAAAATAAACATTTGGATGACAGTTGTAAAAGTATCAATAAGGTTTTCAGAAAAGAAACAGCTCTTATGCAGCCTGTTCTTGAAAGTTCTTCAAACTTAGATGACTTAAGTTTTTCTCCTGGCATTTTCTTGGACCTGTCAAAAGCTTTTGACAACATTGACAATCAGATCCTTAAAGAAAAAAAAAGCTTTTTAATTTTTTTCCTTTATAATGGTTAAAGTAATATTAAATGGGTAAAACACAATCAGAGCCAAGCAATTGCATGGGGTACTCAGGGTTCAACTCTTGACCCTCTTGTTTTGTTATACTTAAAAGATCTACTCAAGGTTTGTAATAGGGCATTATCTCTGTTTTTTTTCCCCAAAAAATTTCATCTCCCAGCAGCTTTCAGTCCTAGACTGTTCATCTGATGTCTTTCTGAGGTTACATTTTTTACAAGTTGACATGGTACATGAGTTACAGTAAACAAAAGCAATAGTTTACTCTACTACTAGCCTGAGCTTGACCTAACAGACCTCATACTGTAAGAAAATCTGAAAAAGATGTCTGTGGGAATACAGGCGTATATGGAATTACCAAATTTCCATCACACTTGTTCCAATTCAGGCATGTCCCAATCCCAGCCTTCAGTTATTGCTGTGGGCTTGCATGTAAAACATTTTGGTTCCTGTGCTTCAAGAACAGCCTGTTATCTGGAGTCAGAGTCAGAACAGTAACCCACTTCATTATCTGAAGGTTTGTAAAGTTAAGAGGCCAATAACTGTTCAAGAAGCGATTATCAGACACATCAGATAAACCCCCCACCCACAGCTTTCCAACACTGGATAAGGAGGCACTTTGTCCATCTGCCAGTCTGAGATTCTTTACAGTTTCACCCTTTTTGTCTAGTGAGTTGAAGTTTTAAAATGTACATTTTCACGTGAAGAAACAGAAGTTAAAACTACAAATGTAACTACAGATGAGCTGTCTGAAATGTTGCTCTTTTTCTCTGTATTTTTAAGTCTTAACATTTTAAGACTTTTGCCAGAGTTTCTGTTGGCAGATGTCATGTTTTCTTACCGTGACAGTCACAGTGCTGGACAGCTGGAGAAAAACTGTGAGGAAGATCGACAAACAAACCAAGGTCTTCATCTTGCTGCTTTCTCTGGATCTGGTGTGTTGAATTTCTCCTTCAGAGTCTCTCAGCCTTTTCTGAACACCTCACAGCCTCAGTGTATTTATAGAGGGCTGGTTCAAACTCACCGCTAGCGACGCCTGAAGGGGAGTTAATAATAAACAACAGTGTCTGATTATGGAGCCATAAAGACGCTCTGTTTCACTGTGGAAAAATCTGAAGAAAATTATCTGTATTAACTGTTTGGCATTCATGCTGTTGTTCAGCACTTTGCACCGTTATATTGATAAAATAACTACAAATCAGTGATTGATTGATTTCACTTTGACAACCGTGTTACACAACAGGGCATCTATTCACTTTGTACAGCCGCCATCTATAATAATGTAAACAAGGTCTGTTTTAGGACAACCTGTACACTAAATATCTCACTGAAACACCTAAACATATCAGAAACATGAAGAGATGGCATGTATGCAGCTGTAGTGGCTGATTTATTAGGAGTGGTGAAGCCTGCTTTCTTCAGAGCACAGGTGGACACATACAAATGATTAGTGAAATAGAAACACTGTGCATTTGTGTGGCATCTGGTTAAAAATGTCCTCTTAGTCTTAATTTAATTAGAATTCACCCACAAAGCTCAGAAAAATGACATTTGTAAATGAGATTATTTAACTTAATGAGGTTTTCCTGGTTAAATAAAATCTAATAATATTTTCCAAATATTACACACTAATGTTACACAAATATTACATGGTTTCCCCTCTGAATTAGCTCTAAAACATTTAAGAATGTTTTTTGCAACTGAGTCTTGTTTTGCGTGATTAAGTCAGTCACACTGATTGTATTGTGTAGACGTGTCGTCACTTTTGCATGCAAACTATCACCTTTCATTCTTTGTTCAGTTCAGGTGTGACCCTATCCCTGGCTAAAACATCAGACTTATGAGGTAAATGGATTGCACACGGTGGCACACGCCTACTATGTCATAGTTCTTGTTGCTTTGATTGGCTCATATTGAGTGAATTTCGCCTCTTCCCTCATGTCGTCTTCCCTAGATGGAAATACTGTACATCCCAGAGGCGACACCAGGGGAATCTATTCACACACATCATATCAGATCAGTCCCTGGAGTCACAGCACCTCTAGTGTGGGATACAGTTAATGATTTCACCTCTGCCTGTTGAAAAAAAAACCCCAATAACTTCCATAATAGAATCAACACAATTTCACAATAATATCAGCAGGGGCTTCAGGGTGAAGGGGAAAAGTGATACTGACTACCTCAGTGCCACAGTGGGTTGGGAGGCCCTTAATATATTCGTGAATATGTGTAGGTAGTGCCAGTTGAGTCACTTTAAGCGTACATAGCTATTTAAAATGATGAGCCTAAACAGACACTTAAAAAGCACTTTTTATTCAACACAAGTTTTATTCACCATATTTTTTTGCAGTAGAGCTCCTCTGTCCCAAAAAAAAGTCATGTTGCCATGGTGGGAAAAGTAGATCTCTTGACATGTCACTCCCTTGTGTTTTTCCTCTTTGTGGGTCACACTGTAGGCACTTAAAGGTCTCAAAGAATTACGGCCACATTGTCCTTTAACCACATGACTTAGCAAACATTTGCGCAGGAAATATTTAAGTTGCGCTTTTTTATGCTTTTATTTTGAAAATGAAAAGCTTAAGAAAAAGTCTTTGATGATTATAACAGATTAAAGAGAAGACTGGAGCTATGAGTACAAGAGAGTGTGATAACAGTAAAGTATGAATAAGTCCTGAAAAATCGCTTCTGCCTCAGGAAAGGGGTGCATGAGACTTCAGGGCCATTAGTTTAAAAAATGACAATGACAAATGACAAGTTTTCCAATTGCATAAGTCCATGAAAAAAAAAAAAAAGAGTCCCAGTTGCAGCAAGATATGAGTCTGTCTTTACGAAGCAAAATACGGTCTGCCTCCTATCCTCGTCACCTTGTAGGTATTGAGTCCTGGAGAATCGAACCCTGGGGATATTCCTCTCCTGTTGAAAAGGTAAAAGTTAAAAAGCTGACGGTCCTGCGTCTCCAGGGACACCGAGGCACTGTGGACCTTCAGCTTGCATGGGTACGGCTTCTCAAACACCACCCTGAACACCCTTTCCTGCAGGTAATCCAGACGGATGGTCCGGTACTTGGACGGCACAGTCGTGTCCACCTGTGGTCCAAACTGCTGCATGATCAGCACGCCATCTGGATCCACCTTGATCTGGTAGAAAGTCATGTTCCTGTAGGTGTAGAAGCCTACGTATGGGTATGGGCTTGGTGGTGGCCTGAGAGTCTGTTTGGCTTCCCTGAAGGCGTTCTCCATCGCGGGGATGAGGAAGCCGTAAGCCTGACTCACCAGGTCCCTATCTGCAGGACGAACCCCCGACATCAGCAGCACCATTCCCAGCTTCAGCTTTGGCACCAGGGAGAGGGTGGCAGCATAACCATCCAGGTCTCCATCTTTCCTTAACACGTCATATCCAAACAGCTCGTTGATCTCCCATGGCGTGCCCGTTGAGTTGGCGAAGTAGCCGCTGTGGCATTTGTAGAGTGGCGTCATCATCACGTTCAGGGTGTCCTGGCGAAGAGGCCTCCCGCTGTACGCCCCCAGAAGAGCCATCATAAGTTTGGCCATGTCAGCTGTGGTAGAGTACATCTGACCTGCAGGTCTGTACCAGCCCAGGTTGTAGAGGGGAGCTTGCTGACCACTACCGTAAACGCCAACAGCCATCCTCTTCTGGATGGCTGGAGTGATGTTGAAACCTGTGTCCTCCATGCTGAGCTGTTTCAGGATGTTGTCTGACAGCCAGGTCTCAAAGTCTGTACCCCCCACATTCTGGGCCAAGACGTTGGCCAATAAGGAAAATGCAACATTGCTGTAGTGACATCTGCGGACAAGAAGACAGTGAGGTAAGTAAATGTCACAAATGTCAAAAGTCTGTGTATTCCTAAAAGGACACCCCCTTTAGAGCTAGCAATAACCTTAAAAGTCTTTTTGAATGAATGCATCCAATGATTACTCATGCCGATCTCCCTGCTGAAGATCACCTTTACGCGCAGGTGCACAGGGGTGTTTCATTACAAAGTTATATAAGTTATAGCACTCTCCAGATTTGCAGTTGTTTTGCAGATCAGTGCGCACACTGACTTATGTAATTGCAGGTTTTTGGAAAGGACAAAGGACGGACTTTTCCTTTTATTTTTAATTGGGGCTCTTCTCATGTAAACAAAGCCTCAGACACTTGCAGAAGCAGCTGATTGGCTGACCTCAGTGCTCTAGCTGGAGTGCAAACATGGAGATGTTCAGTTAATTAAGGCACAGCCAATACACTTCACAGTCAGGAGATGAGCAGCAGTGTTTTGAATGAGCTGCAGGAGCTGAATTTATGATGAAGGGGACAAATAGAGAGCAGCAGTAACTGAGTTGAGACATGATGAAAGTGTGTATCACCCTCTCTAAATCTTCAGACAGTCCTTTAATTTAGCTACAAGTCTGAACAGAAAGAAGCTGAACTTCATAACAAACTTCAAAATAGACATAGATCAGTAAAAGCGATCTTTGTTGTCCTCAAGATCTTGGCTTTAGATGTGACCAAGGTTGTGCTTGCACTTTCTGAGCAGACCTTGGCAGTACCCTGCAGTCTGGTTCTTCATTAAATTTACCTGTACCATGAATCCCATGCCATTTTAAACCACAGGTCTAACCGGATTGTGTTAAGTCATCAGAGTCAAAAATAGACCAAGAAGAAGGAATCAGGGTCTTACTTAGTGCCCGGATCGGCCACGAGAACATCGTCCTGCAACAAATTAAGGGCTTCTTTTGTGTCACCGCTCCACAGGAGATTAGTTGACCTTAATCTTCTTGGCAAACCTGTCAAAATAAAGAAAACTATAGTAAATAAAAGTGGGCAGACACTGTGCGCTGTTCATGAATTTATAAACACAGTGGTATCTCTATAGAAGAGAGGAAGATGAAAAATAACCTAATCTGACAGAAGTAAACTTACCACTTCAAATGACCCTTATTGTGTTGATGTGTAGAGTCTGCACTCTCAGGTGTGTTTACACATTTTTAACAGAGAGGCTCACCTTTGATCAACACAGTCACACAGAGCTCATACTGATGGTGAGGTTAACACGTTAACACAACACTTTAAATCTTGCTGCCCTTGACATACATTCAGAGGAGCTTTATCAGACTGTACTTTAAGTGTACATTTATTCAGAGTAAATATCAGCTTGTACACTCATTCTGCTTTTATATGTAAAGATCTGAGACTCCAACAGGAAGAGACTCGATGCTTAGTGTATGAAATGTTCTGGTTCGAGACTGTAGTGCAAGTAATATTGACCAAACTCCTTTGAGCAAGCTTTAGCAGCTAATGATGTGAAAACATGAGAAAAGAGTGCATCAGCCAAATGCAATCTCAAACTTATCACCTATTTTAAACAAAGCAGAGCTTGTCTCTGCTTTTTGTAAAGTAGCTTCTCATGGGCACTAGTTTGGCAGAGCAGTAAATGCATGCACCAGACACACAGAGGCTATTAGCTTTGTTTCAAAGGGCGCTGGTTTGACTCCCAAAAATGCAAAATACTCCCATAATACCACTTTGAAAAATAAAACCACCCCTCAAGGGTGATCCTGTTTTTATTGTTTCCCAATTCTGTCACTATTTGCAAATCTATGGTTGCCAGTTTAGTTGCAAACAACCACCAAAGCCAGATGAGCAGGTGCTAACTTGGATACATGCCCAGGGAGGTTGGCTATGTTCCCAACAGGATGATTTATTCTTGGAAAATCAAATGCTTTTTAGCTGCAAGATTGGATGATTTGTCAATCAGCTGGTCCTGGAAAAAAAAACATCTGAGGCTTTCAGTGTCCAAACAGGATATATCATCACAAATGTGATCCAATAATAACTGTGCATTTGGTACAAAACTCCTTAACTTTGCTCTCAGGGCTATTGCAAATCAGTTCTCCTTGTTGGCAGCATATCTAGGAAATTTTGGCAAAAGTCATATTTAAAATATTTACTATAGGAGAAACTTTCCTACTGCAAGATAAGGTAAATTCACAAGCATGTGAAAAGGTAGAAAAAAATTGCAGAGATGGGAGCATGCTCCAAAATAAAAAGTGTGCTGCAGAAAACTCAAACAACCGCATCAACAGCAAACATGCTGCAAAAACGACAGAACGTTAGAAGTAGAGAACATAATTGTGCTAACCACTCTCTGAATTCAGAATCCAAATGTCTGCTTTGTGTCAAATTTCGCCGATGTCTAATCTCAGGCACCAAAGACCGAAAACAAAACATGATGCGAATCAGTAAACAAAAAGTGAATATTTAGTTTGGATGCTCTCGTCAACCACCTTCGCTGCAGAATATAATAAAAACTGTGAGATGAATTTCAGTTAAAGACTGTAATTTCAGTCATCCTCTGCTTGTGTTATGGACAGAAATCCAGACACAGGCCAAAAGATTCACAGGTTAATCAGGAGAGCTGGGAGCACGTGTGACCTCCCTCAGCTGGGAGACTGCATGAGGAGGCTGAGCGCTCCTGTTCTGCTTTTTGCTGCTCAGGAGGTCAAACACCTTCAGTTAGCTTCCCTGGTTTCTGATTCATGAAGATTTTATTTGAATTGCAAGATATTATTGTTTATTCAGTTCCTGTCCAGCAATCCAGTAAAATATAAGGACTCATTTGTTTTTTTTTTTTTGTTGAGGACGTACAGTTTAATTATTTTAAGACTGTGAGCCCTGTCCTTCAGGTCTGTTTCTGAGAAAATGTAAAATTGAATTTGGGCTAGTATTATTTTTTTCTAACAGTATTAGTTCAGGAACCCTTTACCCTCTCTTTCTCCTGTCCCCTGCAGCAGCTTGCACCGTGTTTTGAGTCTGTCCTGAAATAGAGTGCAGATGGACCTGTGCCTTCAGCAGGGCTTCCCCCACCGTTAATCCATCCTCTTCACTCTGAGCTGATTAGCTCTATATCTGGACTCAGCTCAGCGTGTATGAACAAGTACTCTCTCTTTTTATGGAGCTCAGGTTAGCTCAGGTGCTGTAGTAGGAGCTACAGGAGTGTCTTTAAGAGGAATTAGATGGTGTTCGGTGTGAGGGTCTGGACCTACATTTCTGAGTTAGCTGATGGTGACATAATGAGGTGACAAGAAATGGAACCACCAGTTACACAATGACCCTGCTTTGTTGGGACATCCCCCTTTAAACGGATAACTTCTATGTGCTATTACCAGTTTAGGATGCAGTAAGAAATGTTACTATGTCAAATGCTTGAGACCAGACCTTACTGCCATCTGCATGCATCACTTATAACACTGTAAGAAGTGATGATTAAAACTTTGATGGTTTGCAAATCATTTCAAGCCAATATTTCATTCAAAAAAGTGCAAAGACCCCAAATCAAATGTTTAAATTTGATGCCAGAAACACTTTTCTCTGAGTTGTGGCAGGGACAAACTCTACTGTTGTGTTGCATCAGCTCTTCTTACACCAACTCTGTAAATGTTAGTGAACCCAGCAGACCAGTCTTTGGAGTTTTAAGGCGAAATGTTGTCCCATTCTTGCCTAATAGAGGATTTAAGCTGCTCAACAGTTTGGGGTCTCCTTTGTCCTATTTGTGGTGTCATGATGCTCCAAATATTGTTAGTGGGGGAGTCAGCACTGCAAGCAAGTCTCTGGTGTTTCTGGATCATGTTTCTATCTGGTTTTCTCTTTGCATGGTTCAACCTGCATTTCTGTACTGATGGACTGTGTTTATCAACAATGGGTTTTGAACCCATGCAGTGATCTCCACTACAGAGTCCTGTCCGTTTTGATGCAGTGCTCCCTGAGGGTCTTGTGGTCCTTGTCTCTTTTGTTCAGAGATTTCTCCAGATTCTCTAAATCTTTTAATGATATTATGTTCTGTAGATGATGAAATCCACTCATTCTTTCACATTTGACACTCAGGAACATTATTCTGAAACTGTTGAACTGTAAGCTCACACAGTCTCTCACAGAATGGTGAACATCTTCCCATCTTTCCTTCTGAGAGACTCGGCCTCTCTGAATGTCCTTTTTATACTCAGTCATGTTACTAACCTGTGGGACATTAACGTCGTTTGAGATGTTCCTCCAGATGTTTTTCAACATCACACACTTTTTACCGGTTTTATTGACCTTGCAACAACCCATTGAAACATGTTGCTAGCATCAAATTTAAGCAGGAACACACTCAACATTTTACCTAAAACAATACGAATTATTTTTATTTATCCACATAATATGCTGTATTTGCACTATTTTCAGTTTAATATGGATTGTAAATGATTTGAAAACCATAAAATCTGTTTTAACCAATAGTTCAGAACTCCAACTTTTGGGAGTAGGAGGTTTTACGTTAAACTATATGCCAAACTCTGTGCTGAGTGTGGTCTTTAGTTTCTTAAGTAGCATTTAGATCTATTTAAATTGCTGAATAGATCAGGAATATTTTAAGAATGAGGTCTGGAAACAGCAACTCAGTACTTATGCTGTTGGTTGTTGCGATTAACAAAGATGGCCACCTCTGACATAAAGATGAGTTTCAGGTTTACCAGAGAGCTGACTCGCCATCCTGCGCAGCGTGAGAGCAGGAGCCCGACTGCCAGCGGTCCTGACTGGTGAAGGCCCCGTCTTCCCACTTTTCCCCAGTGGGTTCTTGATGCTGAAGTTGTCGGCGTACTTCTCCAGAGGGTCGTCCAGAGAGCTCACCAAGCCGTCCTCCCACATCTTGTAGAGCATCAGCGTGGGGAAGATCTTGGAGAGGCTCGCAATTCTGCAATCACAGAGATTACAGTGAGTGCAGCACATGCTTACTCCCATTGATTTAATGAATGTTCCTGGTTTAATAATACAAAGCATCCCCTCTGCTGCTGCTGCATGGTGAGTGGTTCAGTCCCACTGATCTCAGCTCCTGAATGTTGCTTACAGACTACAATACAGGTCTAATCCTGACCCCCTGCGTCTAATTCTGGCTCTAAGCCTCAGATCGAATATCCAACAGAGGAATCAATCTGCAGGTTAATCATGAGTGGAGATCATTATGGGTCTATAAAGGAGCTGCTAATATCAGAGGCTGGGACAGCAGCTCTGAGCACGGATCACATTGTTCTTTTTAAACACCTGTGCTTTACACTCACCTGTACACTGTGTACTCATCAGGTGCAGTGGAAGTGGGGTCACTTATGTTTTTCTTGCCAAAGTTTCCATTCCATAAAACCGAGTCATTTAAAACCACGATGGCTGAGATGGCCGGCAACTTGGTCTTGAAAACGATGGTCCTCAGGAGGAGGTCGACCTGTGTGGAGAGGCTTCGTTCAGAGTACTTTCTAAGACAACAACCTTTGGATCAAAGTTAGAGAAACCGTAGAAGAGATGAACCTTTTCTAAAGCGACTCTCAGCGATGTGATTGGGTGTTTGAGGGGCACAGGTTCAGGGAAGCGAGGGCACATCTCCTCCACCACCACTTTTCTTTCTACCGGCTCTGCAAAAAAGAGGGGCAAAGTCAATCACAACATGTATAAAAATGCACAGCATGAATGAGGGCTTTCTGTCAGAAATGGGAGTATTTCTACTCCAACTGTTCACACTAAGTTGTATGTTTTTTATTCCTCTCTGAAACAAGCTAGTGAACATTGCTCTAGACCTTCAACTGACGCAAACAGGGTCAATTTCACCAGGTAGTTTGACCTTATCATTGATATTGCTGTATGTATAAACTATATTTAGACATTTTTAGTCTCATCTTGTCATTGAAAAGTCCATGTGTTTTTGTAATATTCATACACACAACAACAACACAACCAAACTCAAAACTGAGTGCTTCTGAGAGCGATCATGCCATGCAGTGGACATCTGAGGACACCTTAATGACCTGGAGGAACGAGACCAAAGGAGTCTGTAGAAGGGAGGGAAGGACTTCTGCGCTAACTGAAGAGCAGAAGAGATCTCAAGTTACCTTGTGGTCCAGGTCTGTAAACCCAGAGCTCTGTCAAGAGTGGTCAACAACCACTACAAGACCTTTCTGAATCAGAGGATGCAGTCCGCACCTCACACCCTCCAGAGTTCTTCTGCTGTTTTACCCACTTCCTTCAATTTTCACAAGTTCGACCAGAAAAGCTGAATGGAAATGTGACTTAAAAGTAAGTTTTCAGCTCTCACTGTTTCTTATTAATTGCATAATGACACAACCCATGGTCCACATGAGAAGTTAACCTGTAAAAACACAATCTATTAACTTCATACTAAATTATGACACCAAGCTACTTTCAAATAGGAAATTTCACCTTAAACAACTCCCAGACAGCTTTGCTTAAAAGTTACATTATTCTGTATCAAACAGAAGTACACTATCAACAAAGTGAGTTTGAGTTTTTACCCACTAGCCAAGCATGAAGGTGTAGATAATAACACTCATGCTAGTGTGCAACTACATCGCAAAACTCAGCAGAGCACCACTTTAGAGTTGGAATAAAAATAAAATAATAATCATAACAATAATAACAAAAAAAACAAACAAACAAACAAAAAAACAGCCAAACTGAAACCCCTGAAAAGTGCAGATGCAAAATGGTCTCATTAAACTTAACTCATAAAGTGTCCCATGGACCGTTTACACTTAAGGCAGCGCATGTGAGACTCATGCCTGGTTAAATACTAGCACTAAACTTACTGTATGTCTATTAAATAAGGAAATGAATCAATAGGCAGCTGCACCTTATTGACTCTGATTGGATGTTTTTTCCACTCAATCCTGCAAATTCTACCTCTAAATCGTGCTTTTAAGACCTCACTGGTGTGGCTGTGCAGCATTTATTTGAATAATGCATCTAAAAGTCAAGATCATACATTCATTAAATATTGAATTTTCCTTAAATCAATAGAGTTCTTCTTTTTAAATTTCATTGCATTAATCCCCAAAGTGAGTCACTTGTGTCTGTGGTGGACTTAAAAAATATTTTGAATGGAGAAATAGTGAATTTAAAACATGTTATTTGAGATGTGATTAATCACCATACACGGTCAAAATTGCGGTTCCAATAGTTAATCATGATTTATCGCATTTTTAGAGAATAATCTGACAGCCCTAATACGAACCAAAAGTTTCTTACAGAAGCTTCGAGTGCAGTTGTAAAAAGTTTATAGCAGGTGTCACCGGGTGCTTAAAAATAAATCCAGTATCTACACACTCGCTATAAACCAATAATATTGTGTAATCGATTGATTAGAGCTGTAAATATGTCAGCCTGCTGTAACTGAAGGTTATAAATGTTGTTTTTTATTATCATGATGTTAAGGTTTGATCCCTTCAGGCACGGCGTCACCATCAGACAGAACATCATGATCACCTTGTCTTGTGCTTAAAGCCACTATAAACTACATCAACAGCACTGTTCAGCCTGTCCTCCCCCTCCCCTTCCTCTTCCTCTTCCCCCTGTCTCTCATCAGGAGTTAAAGTCCCGCTTTAATCCTGCTGCGACTATTTCCAGCTTTGTGTAATCCAAACAAGCAATTAGACCTAAGAGGCTAAAGAAAACCCAGGTCTAAAAGAAGCTGCTGCAGGGTTGAAAAGTCAAAGAGTGTCTCAAAAAGTGTGTGTGGGTGTGTTTGAGTGGTCTGAGGAGCTAAATCTGTATCTCTGTGGTGGCTAGACTTGGAGACCTCACCTGTCTTCTGCTTGGGTATCCTGTACTGCCATATGAAGCCACAGGTCATGATGACTGAGAGCAGAAAGAAGACGACCATCCCCAGCATGGTCCATTTTATCTGCATCTTGCTTACTGATTGTTTTTGGCAGCAGAATCAGTCTGTGAAGTAAAAGAGTTCAAGTTTGCAGGAGTAAGTGCAAAAGAAAAACTATCAGATATTTAATTCACAATATTTCACAGAATCTTCTGTATTCAACTCTTTTCTTTTACTCTAAGCAAGTGCAAAGTTTGGTTTGCAACTCTTTTATGACTCTTACACACCAAGTAGTAGTAGCAAAAAAGCTGAGCTTACCAAAGTTTAGGGGAACAATCCTCAGTCTTCTCTCATAATCTTTCTTTCATTCCTCATCCTCAGACATCTTAAAAAATCCACATTTTGATTTCCTGCAAGGTCCTCTGGGAGAGAAATCCACTACGGCATGCATGAACTCAGCTCCACTGCTCCTGAGCAGTCGCTGTCCACAGACCACCACCTACATGCACTTAATCCCAGCCGGTGATCCCCGGCTTCAGATGAAGAGCTGCTGCTATTCCCACTCCAGCGTGACATCATAATCTGCAGGGAGATTCAGCCTCAGAGCTCAATGTAAGGAGGCCCGTATGGAGACCTGCTCAGCTCTCATCCTCCGCAATCAAATCATCTCACATCCTGCAGGGGTTAATGCCACACATACAGCACTTATCCAACGCTGGATGCTTTTCATCATCATGTCAGAGGTTATGGGTCATGTGGAATTTAATAAACATTTACCAGATATAAATGAGCATAGGTCTGAGGGAGAAAAGGACAATATAGAGGATTTGAATCTGCAAGAGCATTTAATAGAAATGTGTCAGGTAGAGCAATTACATGACTGTTAAAGGATAGTTTTTGTGTGCTAAGAACTTATCTTCTGAAACCTTTCAAAGTCTCCAAAAGGCTCACATGATTCTGAAATTAAACCTCCTTATCTACTTATTGGTATTTTTTTTAGACTTGAGTTGGCAACTGTGACTGTTTGTCTTTCTTAGATAAATCAAAATTATACTGGAGTCACTTTATGACAAAATCAGGCTTAAACCAACTTAAAGACTGGTGAATGTTTGTGAAAGGAGCTGGTGAATCATCTCTTCTTTGATAGACAGGCCCTTGAGGCAGATTTGAAAGAGAATGAAACTCATTAAGGTTGCAAAAATTAATATTTAATCACTGATCAGCCAGTCTCACTGTTTGTTGTTTATTTGTACAAAAACAAGATAAAAACCTGGACTAAATGGGCACCTGAGCACACATCAGAGTATGAGGTGTGTTGTGATGTAGTATGTCCAGCACTTTGTTGTTATATACAGTCAATTTTGTGGCTGCATTGGTCCACACAGCTGCAAATAGTCAACCCACATTTGTTCCTACTACTTTTACTAGTTTGTAGTCATGAGTTTACAGTACCTTCTTACTCCACTAGAAGGCACTGTGGACCTTGAATACTCTGTTTGATAGTATGCAGCCTTGACAGGGTGCAGCGGGAGACCATTTAACCTTATGGTCTCGGAATTATTGATGGTATTCATGAGCAGAGGGGGTTGTGAATGCTGCTAAAAAGTTCTTGGACCCTGCAGGTTTTCCTAGAAAGTGCAAAGGCTGTTAGGGAAGACCCTCTCAGAGCCAATTCTGAGGCTGGCTTCTTTAATAAAAAATGTAATCTCTTTGGTAAGAAGAATACTGCAGTAGTGCCTGAAGTCTGGAGGAATTTGGTAATGCAGATTTTTGGATGGAAAATAAAATACCAGAATACTTTTCCGAGGTGTCCCTGGTTAGTTCTCCTGGTGGAGAGCGCACCATACAGGTCTAAGAGGGTACTGCACATCTCTGCATTCAGCTCCACCCTCTTTGGATCAAGTCTTCCTTTAAAAAAAAAAAAAATCTTATATGACAGAGTATTAGGACCACATAAAGAAAAAATATAAAGATTTTGAGTACAAAATTGTAATGTTGAGGGATGAAGTTGTTTTTCTTTTGAGGAGAATCAAGTCATAGGAAATTCAAGTTGTGCTCTGAGAGTTAAGTCATAATGGTCAGAGAATAAAGTTGCAGTTTTGTTTTATGGCTGACCTATTTTCAAGGGAAATGGAAATGATTAGCGATATCTAAATTTATTGAAAAATGCTCCCTTGTTCACCCCTCCTGTAAGTGAAGCGACGGTGGCCTTTGAGGACAAGAAGCTCTTGTGATGCGTTACAAGTATGATCCTCCATTGGTCAAGTTTTTAGCATCAAAATAGCCCAATATAATTCTTGTTGCACACAACAACCATAACTAAAACGAATGTTATAGTCAGAGATTACAAACTCATTTTAACACATCCTTAAATATTAGATTCTATTTCCAACAAAGCTGTTCTGTTAAATGCCTCTATACACGGTACACTGCATCTTTAATGAGCCTCATACTGAAATGAAATGTAGGAATAAAAGGGCAAAGATCAAACATGACAAAAAACAGAACCAGTTATTGCATATTTGAGATTAGACAACAGTTAAAATGTAAAAGTAAATCCCCCAATTCTTCATTTCAAGTAATACATTTTAAACCCTCACTTCACGAAAAGCTCTCTAGGAAATAACTCTATGGTTTGTAAGCTCTCACATCTCAGTCTTCATGTTTAATCTATACATTATAGACCTCTAAAACCTAAATTTCATAACTTATGTGGAAATGTTTCTCTCCCAGGGATTAACCTCAGAGAGGCTTCAGACAGCATTAGTCATTAAATACTCTTGTTTATGCCCTGGGGTTTAAAAACACAGTTACGACTGTTGATTGTGGAAATAATTTTGTCGCCCTCCAGCAGAACTCTTCTTTTTTTTTTTTTTTAGCAGCGTCTGAATTTCAGCACTCATTACCATCATTAACACATTCAAATTAATCTATTTTTTCTACTTTTCTTTCTATTGTTACTCTGTGTTCATAGTTGAAGCACCAAAACACAGAGACAAACTCCTCATATGTTTAAACCATCGAGTCAATAAACCAGATTCAGATTCAAGTTAGGACAAAACACACTGACAAATCTCTGCCAAACTTGGACTAAAAAAACGTATTAAAAGAAACTAATTATAAAGTTAATGAGGATTTTTTTTCTCCTTATAATGAAATGACACTCAAAGGTGTCAAATGTGAATGCAGAAAAAGAGTGTTGCTGTGACCTAAATACTACTCTGGCTTTTGAATATATTACATTACATCCATTAGAGAGTGTAATAACATGATTTAAACCTCCTCCCCCCAACTCCAAACATGTAATAACTGTCTGTCTCCGATGGTCTTGAGTGTAAACTAACAGACACTCATACCTCTCTGTTTCTTCTTTTAAACCATCACTTTTATCCCTTGACAGTCCAGGACTCATGGGAAACGGCATTTTGTTGAGGGTGTGCAAACCTTCAAATCATTCTTTGTATCCTGACATCATATCCTGTATTTTTTCTGCAGCTCTGCATACTGACCTCTATGTGAAATATGCACATCCCAAATCAACTAAAAACATCTGCAATGATTGCATGCACGAGCATTTTCTTCATGCAACTTTGACATCTAAATAAACTTTATTTCTTTTAAAATAGAGAAGTGTTATGCATCACAGAGGTATAAAGCAATTAGGAAACACCACTGGAAAAAGCTCAAATCTGCACACTTATTCAAAGTCATACTTTTTTACTATCTCTACCATTTAAAACCTTGCCAGATCTTTGTCAGGTAAATGATTATTTAATACTGAAAACCTCAATAACATTAATAATATAAAGTTAGATTAATCAGTCAAAATCTTAAGGGGATTAAACATCCCCAAATTTTGATATTACAAAAACAACTATTTAAAGCATTGACTGTCTTTATCGTTATTGAAAAGCACATTAGCAAACATCCTCTGAACCACATCAAGTTAGAGGACAGAAAGGAAAATGTATGAAATGTATTATATATGATACATAATAGTAGCAGCGATAGAAGGATTATGCTGTAATACAGGAAACAGTAGAGTAGTACAAAACACAATACAGCATCCTGAATGTGAAAAAAAAAGATAATAATAACATCACATATCACATATAAAGTGTTGTTTTACAGTTCTGTAAGTGTTGTGATAAGTATTTATTTGCATACCCAAGAATAGGCATCGTGAAAATGCACAATATATATGCACAATACACTAACATAATACAATACAGTATCACAATATAATATAATATAATATAATATAAAGTATAGAACAGAAAAGAACAGAAATTACAGTACTGTTATAATAGGATAAAATAGAATAATAGAGTAAAATGAAATAGAATAAAAGAAACTGGACTGTAATAGTTAGAAAACCCATAAAAGAAAAGAAATAGAGGAAAATAGAATAGGATAAAATATACAGGAAGAGGAAGGAAAAGGACTTTACGATCCCCAAAGGGAAAATCAATATGCATTACTGTTAGTATATAGATATAATATTATAGAGTAGAATACAATATAAGAAACAGTGCTTTATGTATACATGGTAATGAGACCAACAGAAAGCCAGTTTGGTGCTGAGATCTGTATCTGTCCTCTTTTCTTCACTGTGTGAATAATTTGCATGTGTTACTCAGTGCTTTATGAAGCACTTCATGACCTGGAGGTCATGTGACTGGGGTGGTGTGTTTGGTGACATCTTGATTCTGCATATTGTCATTTTGTGTTGTTCCTCCCACATTGTGTGTGTGTGTGTGTGTGTGTGTGTGTGTGTGTGTGTGTGTGTGTGTGTGTGTGTGTGTGTGTGTGTGTGTGTGCACGTGCGCGCGTGTGTGTTTGTGTGTGTGTTTTCATCCCTGGAGGAAACATTCTATTTATGGACAGTACCATGTGACCTTTACAGATAGAAAACCCCCTCGAGGCTCTTTTGTTGTTTGTGATATTGATCTAGTTATTGGCTAAAACCAGTTATTTCTGGGTTCTGCTGGGATGGGGTTAACGCTGAATGCTCAAAGCTGATGTTTTGTAAAGACAGAAAACCTGCAGAGATCATGAGCGGACTGCAGAGATTAGACATTAAAAAACAT